AAAAAAAATAAGAAGAACTGATACAAGATATGAATGTGCTCAATGTAATGTTGATTTATATATTGCATTTTGTTTTGAACTGTACCACACTTTGAAAAAAACTTCTAAACATCCATATTTATGAAATTTTAATTTTTTTTAAAAATACCACAGCTAAAGGATTAAAAAGTAATGTTCTCTCTAATAGTTGTATGATGTTTTGTTTATTATGTGAATGTTTTTTGTTGCTTTCATTTACACATTCTACTATTGGGGAATGGAAACAAAATGGATCTATTTAAAACTTTATAGCTTCACTTAGAAAATTGATCAATTTCGTACATAGTATTCTGCAGTATCTACTACCGAAGGATTAAAAATGTTACCTATCTATCACAGAAAATTTCTAGGGAAGGTTGTAGAACGAAAAAAAATTTAGGAAGAAGAAATCATTCTACTTTCCTACGCTAATCAGATGACCTGTAGGCATCGGAAGATGACGCGATGCCTTAACGTCATGTTCAATAGAAATGAACATAAGAACCGATAACCAGAGATGGAATCGGTCTAAAAAAGGTCAGACCGAATCGAACCGGGCGGTCTATCGGAAACGAATGATATACTAATAACTCACAGCACTAGAGAAAGAGTAGTTTAGATATGCAAAATTCGGTTTATCGTGTGACAAACTTGATGTGTCAAGTTGTATCACATATCTGATATAGAGATGGAACCAATCGGAATTTTTGACGACTAGGTACTGGTACTAGTCTGAAATTCGTACCGGTACCGATTCTATCTCTGCTGATAACATCAATGTAAACAACATGATGAACTTAAACTTCGAGTTGAAAGGAGTAGAGTAAATAAAATAAATGAATTCTAAAATAATACTTGATTAAGATTGAGTGTTGTATTGACAATTTCAGCACCAGTTTTAATTCTTTTATTACATAACCATGTTCTCATACGATTTTCATCAAGTTTAAGAAGAGAACAAAATGTTGAAAATGATTTATCCGATTCTTTAACAAATGTTGTTTCATGTTCACCTTCATCAATAATAACATTTCCCAAATGAAGTATAGCCGATAAAAGACGAAATATTGTCATTTGAACTTTATTCTCAATACCTATAAATATATCTCAATTATTTATTGTAAAAAAAAAACAAAATAAATTAAAACAAACCAAGAAGTGTAAGTGCTTCACGTGTTTCTAAAAGTTGTTCAGCATCATTAACACCTTTAATTGTTATTGCATTTCCTTGTGATGTATATCGAAATCTATCAGCTGATACTAATTTAACAAAAAAATAAAAAATAAAAACAATAATATTTTAATAAATATTCTTACATAATGCAAGAGATTTCATTTCAGATTGATTCGCTTGTGAACATAATTGATAAAAAATATGATAATTTCGTTCATCCGATGCTTGATAAATGACTCTAAATAGAAAACAAGAAAAACAAATTTCTCAAACATATTTAAAAATTCTTTTTTACCTTGATTTTTCTAATAAATAAGTTTTCATTGATGCTCCACAAATATGATTTCTTAAAAAGCCAATTTCAATATATTTTCCAAAACGTGATGAATTATCATTGCGTATTGTCTTAGCATTTCCAATAGCCTTTCAAAAAAAAAAAAAAATTATCCAAAAAAAAAAAAAATCTAAATAATTTATTCAAATAAACTAACTTCCATAATAGGATTTGATGCTAAAACTTTTTTTTCAATTTGTGTTTCTTCTAATAATCCTCCAACATTAGCAAAATATCTCATTGCATATTTTGCACTAACTGTTTTTCCAGCTCCAGATTCTCCTGATACAATAATTGATTGATTTCTTGAAAAATTCACCATCGATTGATAAGCTAATTCAGCTGTTGAAAATATATGTGGTTCTAATAATTGAACATCTTGATCACGATACAATTGTATTGTATCATTTCCATATATTGATAAATATTCATATGGATTTATAGCAACTAATACAATACCACATTTTGTATAAATTTGTGATTTATTAAAACGAGATTCAAGATTATATAAAACTAAATTAAAATGGAAAAATTTTATTTTAAATAAATATTTTTTTTGTCTTTGTTTTTTTTGTTTTTACCTTCAGGTTCATTTAAGTAGGATAATGCAGTAAGATCTTTTTGACCAATAAGAATCTCAGGATTACGTAATGGTGGAAGATCAGAATCAGATTTTATTGGAATTATTTCCTAGTTATAATTAATTTCAATTATAATACAATCCTGAATAAAAACAAATGTCCTTCAGGGAGTGTTACTCTTCTTTATGATATTTTGGGAGTACCAACATACAATCCATCGGTTCATATTTGTTGGACTTATCATTCAGATATCATCTTCTTCTTGTGATTACCGATGTTATCACGAATATTTTCGTCAAACTCTTCATTCAAAAAGTCAGTGTTGTAGCTATTTCTAGTCCGAATTTTATCAGAAATTATTTTAAAATAACTGAGACATTGCTTTCTCATTATGAATATCTATGGAAGCGGAAATGTTGGTTTTTAGTAAGATAGATCTTTTCTATGATAACATTGACTAATTTATGTGAAAATTTTAGTAGAAAGTTTCCATGAAAATGACAAATCTCTTCTGAAAGTTTTACACTCGCAATATTGAATGAAGTCGAATGAGTTGATCGACGGTAGTTGATTAGACTCTATGGACTTTTCGGCGGCAGCTCGACGTTTTCCACGACATTTTTTAAAATATTTTTGTTATAGAACAAAGAACAAAAGTCTGATTTTAGTCTGATTTAAATGAGATTGTTCAATATTTGATCGATTTTGATCTCAGTATTTATGAAATGCGCTTGTCTCGAGTTTTAATTTAGAAACTCAAATTTTTTGAGTTTCTCAGACGTCTTGAGTTAACAAACGATAAATACAACGCTAGAACATCCTTTGACACACATACTATACTCCGAATTATTATACGAAAAACCTGAATGTCGAAAGTTTTCGAAAATTGAGTATCTTTTTTTGTATCACTGGTAGCAGCTAGAAATCTTCAACTTGTTTTTAGCTTTCGATGGTTGAATCTCCTTAAAATCAGCTGAGATTTAAAAAAAAAATCTTTGCAGCGATCGGCGGCGGCTCAACCGCTCGGCTTACATCCCTAGGTAGGAATGGACAAAGTCGTATCGAAATCGTCGATATCGATTCCGAAACTGCCCGTCGTTACATATGGAAGTACCTTTACGGCTAGAAAAAATCAGTAGTAGCTTGTAGAATAGTAAAAATGACAAACAAAACCTTTTTGTGTCCTTATTCCTGCTAAATATATTTTTTTACAAGGGAAAGAAGATGTGTGAACCGATGAAGGGCGAATTGATACTTGCGAACAGAGTTTATTATCACAAGGATACATCCAAAATATCAGCTCAATATCATAAAGAATAATAGAACTTGATGGTGGATAGTAACTTTTGTCCAAAATTGTAAATATCAGATACACTCACTTTTCCTCGTTCAGCTGATGTAACTTCAAGTTTTCCTTTTCCATCATAATTTTTCTCAACAGTAACAGCATGCCAAACTTTGCTTTGATCTGGCAACCAAATACGTGCACCCTAAAAAAATAATTTTTACTTTTCCATTATATATTCAAAATAATGATTAATAAAAAATATAAACTCAAGCAACCTCTTATAGCCTATTTGTCATATAAATTCAAAAATATTTTTATTTTCAAAATCATGCAATATAAACTAAATATAGCACAGCAAATATTGGATATTGACAAATAATACAAACTTGAAAATAATTATTTGAATCGGCTAATGGAGAAAAAAAAGAAATGCAAACAGAAAAAAAAAACGAAACAACAAAGAAAACTAAAAAGTTAATAGTCGCAATTTTTGTTTCTTTGGAGAAACCTTAAGCATTTATTTGAATATATAGTCACAAAGAAAAATCTTAGAGCTGAAATAAATGACAACATCCAATGAACAAGAACATAAAAGATAAAATTAATAATTATTCTACATACCTTAGTGTATAATTCTCGAACAGACATTTTAATATTGATTATTTAATATATATGTTACAAAGCCATTTATTGATAAGGAACAATACATTGAATGTCGAAACAATGACAAAGAATTTGTTCTAGAAAATAATTAAGATTTTGTCTTTTTTTTTTTCTTCTTACTACATGAAATTTATATAAACTCTATCTGACTATTTTTATTTTAAGACAAAAATATAGAAAAAAAAAATTATCTGCTATATATGTATATATCTGAAGTTTATCTTTTTCTTTTTCTATTGATTGCTGTAGCAAGAACATTAGTAAGATCATTGGGCATTCCTTGAATTTTCGGTGGTAACATTTGTTTTGTTTCATTATTAATTAATCTATCATAATCTCGAAAAGCTGCTTGACCCAATAATAATAATAATTTTTCTTGTCTTTCAAATTTTGCTGTTTGGTGTTTCATACTTTCATGATGATGATGATCATTTGATAAAATTAAATGAAAAGCTGAATCCATAATTGATCGAAATCTTTGTTGATATGTTTGTAAAATTGTTATTGCAACTTGTCGTTTTTCATCAAAATTTAATTCTAATAAATGACGTCCTTGACGATAAAAATGTGGAGCTTGTTTAGCTAAATCAACAACAGATGCATCAGCAGCAAAAATTTGTCGTTGAATACGTGAATATATTAATGGTAACTCAGGTAATGATGCAAAACGTGTTTTACAATTACATATTGAATAAATCATCCAATAAGGAAGTTCAAGTTTTGTATTTGTTGTTAATGATGTTAGATTTTGTTTGTCTTTTTCATCTTTTTTATCATCATTTAATGATGAAGATGATGATGATTCAAGAAAACCTAATTTTGGTATATCAACAAGTAATTGACAACGAATACGTTCTTGAGTTGATAATATATCATCAATAGAAAAATAATCTTCATACATCTGAAAAACAAAACAAAACAAAACAAAACAAAAACAATTTCTTATTCAATTGACAACTGATCAAAAGCAATCTGACAACGACGATGAACTAATTCTGAATGATTTGATTTTTTTAAAATGAAATGAGAAAGAAATAATCTAAAAACAAAAAATGAAAATTTTATTTTGAAGATTTGTTTGTTTTTTTTTGTGAATGAATTTTTACCTAAGAGCATCTTTAACAAATTTATAATTTTGTGTTGATGAAAATTGAAAAATATTTTTTAATGATACATCATCAATTTCATTGAATAATTTAACAAACAATTCAACCAGAAATGTTCGTGCTGATGATGTTAATTCGATGAAATTGAAATTCTTTAAAATAAATAAAAATTATTTAGAATTTTTTTTTTTTTCTGATTATTTTAAGAAACTTTTACTTTAAATATATTGATTGTTAATGATTTTGATATTAATAATTGAGAAAGTGCAGAACTAAAATTTACTAATTGTTGTTTATTAAGTAATGAAAGATCTTTAAATCTATCCCATGTATGATATTGTAAAGATATCTAAATATTTTAAATAAATAGAAATAAAAAAAAACAAAGAAAAAATTAATTTTACTTGAAAACGACGATCATATCCACAAAATCGTTGTAAAATTAATGTATAATATGGATTATAAGTTTTTTCATGTAAACAACAATGAACTGTAACCTTTATTCAAATAAAAAAAAGCAAAAAAAAAAAAAATAAATGTTTAAATCAAATAGAAAAAAAATAAAAATAAAACTTACATGAATTATTTCTCGTTCTTGTACTTTACTTAAATTAAGTTTATGAAGTTTTTCAACAGCATCATCACAATCCTAAAATGAATTATTTTCAAATTTTTTTTCTTTTAAAATAATTGAACAAAAAAAAAAAAAACAAAAAATTTCGATATTAAATATTTATTCAAGAAGAGGAAAAAAATTGTCGATAGAAATTTACATGAGTATATTCTTAATATTAAATTGAAATTTGATCTATTTAATGAAAACATCCAAAAAGCTTTTCTTTTTTCTTCAATCTCTTAAACAACAACAACAACAACAACATTTCTCTTTATCATCATCTTGACTATTTTTACTAGAGTATACTTCACGTATAATTTCACAACTATCTGTGGAACGAGATCAAGGACATATTTATTATAATTTAAAGAGATCTTTATAAATATTTGTTATTTTTTCAATAAGAATACTTACTTGTTTTCATTTTTTTGTTTTCTATTATCTTCTTTGCTCCTGCATATTCGCTACGTGTCGACATGCACATTTATTCGTTTTATTCATGCAGTATGCGTCAGTGCACTCAATCCCTTATCTCAATTATGATTGAAGACAGAATGACTAATATGTTTTTCTGTTTCTACAACAAAATTTTTACATTGTATTTTGAATGTTTAGATGAAATTTTTTGGATATGATTTTGGAAATTTTAAACTCTATAATAGATTTTCAATTAAGAAGAAAGAAAAATCATTTAAAAAAAACCGATATTCATCGAGTTGTTTGTCACAAATGCGAAAAAGGTAGATAATATTTTCATAGATGGATTCAATTAGACATTTTTTGATAATTGAATCTATAGTCAACTCGAATCTGACGAGATCTAGACTGAACAAATCGTGAGTAATTCTTTTCTACATTACAAATTAACTCTAAAACACATATTCATTTTTTTTTTTACTAAAGTCAAAATTCGATCAGCTTCATATTTCATTTATTTGTATCGAAAATCAAAGCTTAAACGATGCTTAACAGAGCCAGTATTGTTATTAACTGATCGAAACAATAGAAATTGAAATTTGTTAAAATTTCATGATATCATAGAAACGATTTACTTCTTCGGAGTAATAAATCATAATAGCCAGTAAT